TCTCAGCCTTGTCTGAATTTGAGTACCATTTTGTTAAACCGTAACAGTCCCACTACTTCCTGGTTCTGATTTAAAAAAATGGAGGGATGAGACTCATCCTTGACCTGTTCATGTTCAGCAATTCGATCATGGGGATATAATTCCACATGCTGACAAACATCTGCTGGAGAACTTCACCAGGACGACTGGTTTTCACCTCCATAGATCTGAAGAGTGCATATTTTCACATTTCCATCATTCTGAAACACTCCACGCACGTTCTCGAAATGCGTGGAGACGGCTCTGCAGTCGTTACACATAGCAGGAATGGGAAATATTTTTATCTGGACAATCTGCTCTTATTAGCTCGGTCCAGTAAGAAAGCAGTCACACAGACCAAAACGCTAGTGTTACACCTGCTAAACCTGGAGTTTCTATAAACTGGGACAAACTTCTGTTCGTCCATCCCAGATGATTGTTTATCTGGAAGTGGAGCTAAACTCAACTACAATGAGAGCCTGTTTATCACAGCTGAGAGCCAAAGCTCTGTCAGCTCAGCTCCGCTGTGTCAAACCCAGCTCCACCGTGTCAACCCTGCAGCATAGTGACAGTTCTGCCTGTCATGCGACTCCTGGGATGATGTCAGCGGCCCACATCGTGGTTCCGCTGGGCCTACTTCACACGAGACGTCTTCAGAGATGGTTCGCCTGCCTGCGCATAGATCCTGTGTGCCAGAAGAGGTGGATTATCTTTGTGCCCCCCTCCGTGAGAACCGATCTGAATCACTGGGGAAACCCTCTCATTCTGTCAGAGGGAGTTCCAATCAGCAGGCCTATGTCACACGTCTCGGTTTTCACAGACACGTTCCTGTCAAGCTGGGAGGAATGTGTCTGTCCCAAACAGTGGAAGCACAGTGGCTGGACCACATGTCGCTTCACATAAATGTGCAAAAATGTTTTCACGGTCTGAAAAGTGACTCAACATTTTGCCCCTGCTGCGTGATCAGCATTTTCTGATCCACACAGACAACAAGGTGACGGCAGTTTACATAAACCGTCAGGAAGATGTGCGCTCAGCCCAACTGTTACGCATTACGAAACAGCTGTTGTGTTGGGCACACAGAAACATTTTCCCCATCAGTGCAGTGTACATTCCCAGCGTCCTGAACAGGCGAGCAGATATCATGTCGAGGGGCAGTCCCCGCCACAGAGACTGGAGCCTCCATCCCGAGCTGATTTCTCAGATTTGGAGCAGGTTTGGCAGAGCAGCAGTGGATCTGTCCGCCACACGGGAGAACGCCCAGTGTCAATCAATTATGGTTCTCACTGAGCCCACGAGACGACCCACCATTAGGAGTGAATGCCTTCGCTCACAGCCCGTGGCCAAAAATGCTCCTTTATGCGTTCCCTCCAGTTCTGCCGATATCACAGAACCTGGACCGGGTCCAGGAGGAAGAACCGTCAGTCATCCTCGTAGCTCCTGAACGCATATGCGGCTGTGGATGAGTGGTTAGAGCAGTCGTCCTCCAATATGAGAGTTGGGGGTTCGAATCCACCAACAGTCACATGTCGAAGTGTCCCTGGGCAAGATACTGAACCCTTCATAGCCTCCGATGTGTGTCCCATCGGTGTATGAATGTGATGAAGTACTGACTTAATCTCTTTAGAATGATTTGTTCAATTAGCTTTGTAGTGATCTAGTAGAGTGCTGTATGAATGGGTAAATGAGGACACAGATTGTAGTGTAATGCACTTTGAGTATCTTGAAATAAGATAGAAAAGCGCTATATAAGTACAGTCCATTTACTATCATTGACCATATGCGCTCCGTGGTACCCGAATCTGCAGCGATTGATCTCGGGTCGGCGGTGGAAACTGCTGTGCGTGGGCGCTCTCCTCCAGGCAGGAAGAGCGATCAGGAGTTACCCAAAAATAGGTCAGCATCTTTGGGTCTGTCCACTGAACAGATCCGTTTTAGAAAAGATGGGCCTCCCACAGGATGTGGTGCGTACGTTCAGGGCGCACAAGCTGCTTCCACCATAACGCTGTAAACATCAAGTGGACAGTTTTTCAGCGATGGTGCGCAGAGAAAGGCGTGGAGGCCATCTCATGGCCACTAGGTGGCATGCTGTCTTTTCTGCAGCAGCTGATGGACATAAATCTAGCGTTCAGCACAATTAAAACTTATGCTGCAGCTATTTCTTCCTGTCACAAGGGCGTCGGTGACAAAACAGTTCTTAATCACCCATTGATGAAGCATTTCCTGAAAGGTGTATGGAGACACAGACTGGTGTCATGTCCGCTAGCTCTACAGTGAGACCTAATGGACCTGCACGCTCTGATCAAAGCTCCTTCTGAGCCTTTAGATCAGGTTTCACTTAAATTTCTGTCATTTTAAACAGCCCTGCTGTTAGTTCTGACGTCGGCAAAGAGAGTGAGTGATTATCTGCTCTCTCTGTTGCTTCCTCATGTCTCAGAATTCAAGCTGACGGCAGTTCAGCTGTACTGCTTTTTAACCCTGCTCTGTAAAGCATCACAAGCTCATTCAGATCAAGAGTGATAACCTTGGATGGGTTTTATTCTCTTCCTCATAATTCTGAGGAGGAAGCAACAGCTCACCTCCTTCTGTCCCATGCGAGCATTTTTCATGTTAAGTGATACACAAGGTCGCACTGCGCTGCTTTCAGCGTATATTCATGCATTACTGGGACAGCTCTTTGGGACAACCTCTATCCACCCAGCGCCTCTCACACTGGTTGTGTGAGGCTATTTCTGAAGCTTACAGTTCATCTGGACTGGATCCTCCAGACAATCTCAGCACATTCCACTAGAGGGTTTTCATCCTTCATGGCTCTGCATGGAGGGATGACAGTGAAAGATATTTGTATGGCGGCTGCCTGGTCATCGCCATGTTCAATTACGTGTTTTTATCTACCTGATGTTTCTACTTTCTCCATGACCCATTCTGTTCTCAGGGTTCTGACAGAGTGATTATTATTTGTTTCATGGAGCTTCACTTTTGAGCTCACACCTGCCTGCATGCAGTCGCAGTGTGAGATATTTATTATCAGTCACAAGTTCATGACTGCTGATTTTATCGTTATTAATCAGTTCATCATGAGGAACTATTGGTTTATCGTTACACTGTTACAATTCGTATCTTCCATTGTTCCTATTCACAGTAGCAGGTCTGCTATCTCAGCATTTTTTCTTCACCAGAGATATTTTTTCCAGTGCGCTCCTGTGCATGGAGCACGCAATTACGCAGCGCGTAATTACGCACACAGAAGGCTGAGTGATGAAAAGTTTTTTTGTGCAAGCAAGTGCTTCATGTTGTGTCTGAGTAGACCCAGTGAGGCATAGACTACGTCCTGCTTCGCCTTTAACCCACTAGCGATAGCCTTAAAGGGCGAAGCTTATACGAAATAGAACATTGGTTACATACTGTAACCCCAGATTCTATGAATATAGGTGCAGCCCTTTAAGCTCTGGGCCTCACTGGTTCCTAAATGGCTGAAGAAAAAAGCTATTTGGGAGCCGATTACCCGGTCTCACCATAATTTATATGGACTGGGGATGAGGCCCACACAGTAGGTGGGCATGGACTAAAGTTTTCAGTGCTGCGCTGCGCACGTAGGGATAAACCCACTAGCGATAGCCTTAAAGGGCTGCGCCTAAACTCATAGAATCTGGGGTTATAGTACGTAACCAACGTTTCCTCAGTCAGCATTCACACAGCATCTCTCTGGTTACCAATTCATGAATAAATCATAACATTTTAAAGTATGTGGTTGTTGGGGGACAAAAAAGTCTTGAATTAGCCACAGATGGCTTTTACCTGTCCATCATATATGACATTTATCATCCCATCTCTGTCCTCATCCCCAAACAGAAACACCATGGCTCCTCCAGGCACAGTCAGCTGTCCCGGGCCCTGAGCCATGAAGGGACGTCGCACACGCATGTAGTGAGTCTCCTTATCTCTAAGGGGGAAAAAAATCACCACATACTCATATGCCAGGTATTTATTTACTTAAATTGAGTGTTTTCTTATCAGCTGTTGTAACATTTAAGTATACTTACAGAGCTCCATCCATCTGAGGTTCATAAAATCCAGGTTTCTGTAAAGAAATCAGACATTGACTGACAGAAGCTCTTTCTGTACGAAGCCACTGGGCTGGGACTAACCTGTTCCCTCAGGGATTCAAAACCTCCAAAATCATCGTTGGGAATCAAAGAAGAAATGACCTGCAGCAGAAGATCATCGACAATTAGAGAAGATGCAGCGAAACTTTGATGCTAGAAGAAAAATATATTTTCTGAACACAGCAGCTTCTGCAGCATGGTGCCACAGTGGTTTTGGTTCATATTTTATTCTCAATATCCCATTAATACAAAATGAAAACAAAACTTTAAATACGTATGTGCTGCACATTGATTTAAATGGGAAATAACAGAAACACGCCCTCATTCATATATAAAGAAAACACATTATTTCATATAGCCTGTCTAGCCTAAATATTGGTTTCCTATCGCCCACTTGTGGGGAGTGGGCGCCCTCCACCAAGTGCAGAGTGTGTATCTTCTGCTGAAGTCTGACACACAAGTGGTAAAAGGAGGATAGGGGGATTCTCAGTGTTCTGGACCTTAATGTCAGTAAAACCAAGAAATTTTGTTTGGGAGGTAGATGGGGAGTAGAGGATAACATTTTTTCGGGAGTACCGCGGGTCATGTGATACCAGCCGGATTCCGGCAGGACCGGAGTCAACCTCATTATAACTCACGTGACTGGGACATGACCGGACTGAAAGCTAACGGGAGCAGACAGGACCAATAAACAAAAATGAAAATGAAACCTAAAAAAAATAAAAAAAACACGGGCGCAGCTATTTTGTAGTTTTCTTTCAGTAAGCCTTCCCTTTAACACAAGTCAAAAGAACTACATTGCCCAAAAGTCAAAGTTCCAGCCGTATATGTTTACCGAGAGGGTGGGAGGAGCAGCAACGTCTCCAAAGAAACTGAATGGCAGAAATAGTTTGCAACGCAAGGTAAGAAGTATCTGTCTGTCTATTAAACTCACAGAACAGGCAAGAAAGTGTCAAATAACCCTGAACTTCACGAGAGTTGTGTTGGTGCTGTGATGCTTTAAACGTTTCGTCTCAGCTGCAATGAGGAGCTGCGGGGAGTCAGACTTTGTTTACCATCAGTAAATAAACTCTAACAGTGCATTTTTCTCCACCTTATCCCTTTTAATATAAAAATTATGCTCTGCTTTGTTATGTGGGTTTTTAGGTTAAAAATTGCATTATTTGTCGCTGTTCGTAATGAAAAAAAAAAAAAAAAAAAAAAAAAAAAAAAAACCTCTTCCTGTTTAAAGTGCATAAAATCTCCGGTAAAAATATCCCTATTTTTATATTGTGACATCCTACTGGATACTGGAATAAAGGAAAAATGTGAATAACCATCACTTTATTGTGTAAATAGTTACTGTCGGCTGTAACCATGCCAGTAAACAACAAACTCGTTAGTGAAAGCATTCTCCGGTAAAAATATCCCATTTCTATTTCGTATAGGCTTCAGCCTTTAAGAGCTGTCGCTGGTGGGTTTATCCCGTCATGCAAAGCATCGCACTGAAAAAAATTAGTCCATGCCCACCTGTTATGTGGGCCCCACCCGGTCCATATAAATTACGTTAAGAGCGGGTTATCAGCTCCCATTTTTCTTCATCAAGCGTATAGCAATGAGCTTCAACAACGATGTCCAGCACCAATGTCATCTGCCTGTGCCCGTCCTACAAGCCGGGTACATGCTGAGTTTCGACCGGCATGACATCTTTCGAAGGATGCCTGGGTCCCCGCCATGCCGAGCTTGCCTCCTCCTGCCACCTCTGTGACCTCCTCCCCCCGGAGGAGAGGCAGAGGCGAGCAGCCTTGTACAAGGCTAACGTCAAGGAGTGCCTCTCTGTTGCGGGAGACTGTTCGCTGGATGACGCCATTGATTTTTTTCAACGCCGGCTCTCAGAGCGAATCGAATGGTTCCTCCGGGACAGGCAATGTCAGCAGCAGCCCCACTGCTCACTCCCTCCTGGAGAGCGTGCTGTCGGGACGAGAGGGGCCGAGCAGATGCTCACCCCCCCCGGGCCTTTCCACATCAGCGACCACACAGCTCCCAGCCGTCGGTGTCCTCCTCTCGAAGCTGTCTGGCATAATCCAGGAGGCGGCTGACACGAAGGGACTTTCCGTCCCTCTCCTCCCCCTGCCAGATCGGATGATCTAGCGGTAAGGTTGGGCCCCACCCCAGCTTACCATCCTGATCCCATCTGGCTTCGTTCCCCAGCAGTGACGTCCTACTGGAACGAGGCTGCAGCCGGACCTGGTAGACTGAGAGCGCCGGTTTCCACATTTGCGCCCATCACCAGAGTAGAGGGGTTTACTGAAGCATGACCAGACGGTGACATCGCTCACCAACCAAGCTCACCAGTGTGCGTTCCAGGCAGCTGCATCAAACAATAATGTTGTGCTGCTAGCGTACAGCATTTCAAAGAGGTTGGAACAAACAGACCTGCCTGAGGAGATGAAGAGTTCCCTCTGCAAGGCGTCTGACATCATCCTGAACCTGTGCGCCTCTTCTGCTGTTTGCCTGTCTCACATCGCAGCCTGGATGATAATGGTTCAGCGATCTACCTGGCTCCGTCACTTCCCCTCCCTGCCGGAGAAGCTGCAGAAGGACTTGTTGGAAGGCCCCATCACGGCAAATGCGCTGTTCGGAGCCAACTTCAAGGCCATGCTTGACAAGTCAAAGAAGTCGAAGGAGGTGTCGGAGGCTGTGCGCCATCTGGTCAAGCCGCACTCTTCTTCTCGCCCCCCACCGCCCGCTGGAGAGAGCGATGTGACCAAAGACAGCAGCAAAGACGTGCCACAGCTGCAGCAACATCTTCTCGCTCCGCTACACCGCCAGCCCCTCCCGGCAGAGAACAGCCCTCCTCATCCTGGCATCCAGCAGTACAGCATTTCCCCAGAGACTGCCAACAGGCGCCCCCCTGGAAGAACCAACCGCAAGGCTCACGGGAGAGAAGATTCAAAAAATGACTCCTTGCGGAGCCTTGCAAAATGATGGTTTGACTTTTGAAATAAAATGTAAACATCATTCAGGAATTAAAGTGTCTGATTTCAGCCTGTCTGTCAGTTCGGATGATATCATAGTGGCTTCTCCTCACACATCCTCCACACAAAACAAGCTGATGTCCTTCAAACAGGGTTTTAAAAATCACCGCAGCTCAAAAAAACACGCAAAAGGTGCGTGTGACACAGCCAAAAGTGAATGTTTTCAGCAGACCGAGTCCAGTGGGAAACCTCGCTCTCAACCTAAGCCATGCGCCGCCTCCTCTGACAGCAACGGCGGCAAACGCGCGACCCCGCATCAGTGGCAGCCTTCGCCGAAGCAGCACCGCATGGCCAAGGGCGCGCACGCCTCTCCCCAGCGCACGCCAGCTCACATAGCACGGATGTGAGCCCGCAGCCTGAGCGCGGCACAGATGTGCCTTCAGGGCCCTTTTGAGAAAGTTTCACCTGAGGTCGACACCTTCGCAGCACATGACGGCAGTAGAGGCTGTAAATCGGTTGACGTCCATAAAAAACATGATGCAGCACGGAGACGTGTGTCCGCTCCCCAAACGTTACGCGGAGTGGCAGCGAGTGTGCGCTCTAGACAGATGGATGAACCGCCTTATCAGCAGGGGATACACACTGCAGTTCGCAGCTCAACCCCCCCCCCCCCCCATTTGGAGGAATTTTAAAGACGGTTCTGTCATGCCCAGAACAGATCTCGTTCCTTCGTTCAAGAATTTCTGGTGAAAAATGTAATTTCTATGGTTCCAGAAGGAGAGGAAAGCATAGGGTTCTACTCTCGTTACTTCCTGGTCCCAAAACGGACCGGCGGGATGAGACCCATCTTGGATTGGTCAATTTTCAACAAATCAATCATGGAGAGACAATTTCAAATGTTAACAACCAGACAATTGTTAGACAACATTCAGCAAAACAACTGGTTTACTTCCATCGATCTGAAAGGCGCCTACTTCCACATCCCAATCATTCCAAAGCACAGAAAGTTCATGCGCTTCTCCTTTCAAGGGATCCAGTATCAGTACAACAGACTCCCGTTCGGTATTCCCTCGCGCCACGCACATTTTCAAAATGCGTGGAGGCGGCTCTGCAGCCGTTACACGGTGTAGGGATGAGAATTCTGTTTTATCTGGATGATCTGTTGCTTCTGACCCGTTCCAGACAAGAGGCAGCAGCGCAAACTCTGATGCTGACGTCACACCTGCAAAATCTCGGCTTCACCATAAACTGGAAAAAGAGTTCAGTTCTCCCGGCCCAGACGATCGTTTATTTGGGAGTGGAGCTAAACTCGTCACTATGAGGGCTCGCTTATCTCAGACGAGAACGAAAGTTCTAAAGGATAAACTCCGCCACGTGAAACCGGGCAGAGTGGTAACAGCTGTTTCTGTCATGAAGTTGTTAGGAACAATCTCGTCAGCTCACACGGTGATCCCGTTGGGCTTACTCTACATGCAACGTCTCCAGAGGTGGTTCGCTTGTTTGCGTGTGGATCCGGTGAGGCAGAAGAGACGGATGATCGCTGTGCCCCCCTCCGTGAGAAGTGACCTGAGACACTGGGGAAATCTTCTTGTTTTGTCGGAGGGAATTCCCATCAGCAGACCTACGTCACACGTGTCAGTCTTCACAGACGCATCCCTGTCAGGTTGGGGAGGCACATGCATGTCTCGAGCTGTGGGACGCTGTGGCCACCCCACACAGCAGCTCATATAAATGTTTTGGAGTGTTGCACGGTTTTGAATGATATTCAACACTTTGCCTCTGTGTTACGGAATCAATATGTGTTGATTCACACAGACAACAAGGTGACTGCTGCATACATAAACCGGCAGGGGTGTGTGAGCTCAGCCCAAATGTTACACATTACGAGACAGCTGCTGTGTTGGGCACACCAAAATCTGCTCTCCATCAGAGCAGTGTACATCCCCGGTGTTCTGAACAGGGGGCGGATGTGATGTCCAGGGGCAGTCCACATCACGGGGACTGGACTCTCCATCCAGAGCTGATGGCTCAGACGTGGCAGAAATTTGGCAAAGCGGCCGTGGACCTTTTTGTAAAAAGAGAGAACGCTCAGTATCAACTATGATTCTCACTGAGCCCACAAGACGAACCACCGCTACGGGTGGACACGTTTGCTCACAGCCCGTGGCCCAAAATGCTTCTTTACGCATTTCCCCCACTCCCTCTGATATCACGGTTTCTGAACCGAGTTCAGGAGGAGGGACTGACAGCTCTCCTGGTGGCTCCCGAGCGCATGAACCCCCCATGGTTCCCAGTTCTACGACGCCTGTTATCGGGGCGCCCGTGGAAACTGCAGTGGAGGGAGGATGCTCTCCTCCAGGCAGGAGGAGCAATCAAGAGTTACCCAGAAATAGGCTAGCACCTTTGGGTCTGGCCGCTGAGCAGATCCGTTTAGAGAGGATTGGTCTCTCTTAAGAGGTAATGCGCACATTCCAGGTTTCACGTGCTGCCTCCACCACAGCGCTGTACACATCAAAGTGGACAGCTTTTCAGCGCTAGTGTATGGAGAAAGGTGTAGAGTCCACCTCATGTCCACTAGGTTGAGTGCTGTTCTTTCTGCAGCAGCTGATGGACAGAAATCTGGCGTTCAACACGATTAAAACGTACGCTGCAGCCATCTCTTCTTGTCACAAAGGTTCTGGGGACAGAAAAGCTTTTAATCATCCGTTGATGAAACGCTTTTTAAAAGGTGTACAGAGACACAGGGCTGTTTCATGCGCACTTTCTCCACAGTGGGATTTAACGCTGGTTCTACAAGCCCTGATCAAAGTTCCGTTTGAGCCACTAGATAAGGTTCCGATTAAATTCTTGTCTCTTAAAACAGTCCTGCATTTGGCTTTAACATCCGCTAAGAGGGTGAGTGATTTATCTGCCCTCTCTGTCGCTCCATCATGTCTTAGAATTCAAGCTGATGGCAGCTCAGCTGATCTGAGGCCTAATCCAGCGTTTATGCCTAAAAACATCACAAGCTCTTTAAATCAAGAGCAATATCATTGGAAGGTTTTCTTCCCCTCCTCCTCATAAATCAGAAGAAGAATCATCTTTCCATATTCTCTGCCCTGTACGTGCATTGACGTGTTACGTAACATGCACAGCGGCATAATGTCAGACTCAACATTTGTTTGTGCACTATAGAGACGCATCTGCAGGTCGCCCGTTATCCACCCAGCACCAGTCACACTGGCTGTGTGAGGCCATTTCTGAAGCTTACAGAGCATCAGATTTAGACCCTCCTGACAACCTCAGGGTGCATTCGACCAGAGGTATCGCATCTTCAACTGCTTTACATAATGGTATGTCAATGCTGGATATTTGCACTGCGGCCGCGTGGTCAACACCTTGTTCATTTATTCGCTTTTATTTACGTGATGTGACGGCTCGTTCCATGACACATTCTGTCCTTAGTGCCTTAACAGAATGAATATTATTGTTTCATGGAATCTCGTTTAAACTCACATCTGACTGCATGCATTTACAGTGTGAGATGTTCTGATGCATGCTCAATAATCCAGGTAGAAAAATCTAAAAAAGTTAAATCTGGTCCTCTGGACATTCAAAAAAACAAAGCAAAACAACAAAAAAATGTAGAAACGTTTTGTCTCTCATCCAAGAGACTTCCTCAGTCTGAGGTGCTGTATTCAGCTCAGTCTCTTAAATAGCACCTTCTCAGAGTGGATCAACCGGTTTTGCTGCTGACAACCAAAACCAGCTGATCACATGCTCAAGAAGGACCATCAGCCTAACAATGGATCATTAGCACACTGATGGTTGTTTACTATTCACAGAGGGCTGAGTGATACTAGCAATCACAGCACTGTAAGAGGGGGACAATTGAACACATTGGCCTCCACCCCTGTTTAACGATGGACAATCTCTTTTCACAAAGATGGCCTCCTTTACTCTTCTCTCAAACCATCGTTCCTCTCTATCCAGGATATGCACATCTTCATCCCTGAAAGAGTGACCGCTGGCCTGGAGATGAGTGTAGACCGCAGAGTCCTGGCCTGATGATGTTGATCTTCTGTGCTGGGCCATCCTTTTGGCCAGTGGCTGTTTTGTTTCCCCAATGTAAGACTGATCACAGCCCTCCTGACACTGAACAGCATACACAACATTGCTCTGTTTGTGCCGGGGGACTGGATCTTTGGGATGAACCAGTCTTTG